GGGGCAATAAGCTGACTTTGTATAAAACATACAAAAGAATGAAGGCTATTGTTTAACGCATTGTAAGCCGCCCTGAGTCTCCGGAGAAGGGCGGCATATAAATCAAATTAAAAAAAAAAAAAAAAATAGGGGCAAACTGCAGTTTTTGGTTCTCTGGAAACACATCCTTTCTTCTGAAGCTGAATGGGTGGTTGCCCAGAATATGCAAGCTCTGAGAATATTATGCAAATTCCATAATCAATACCCTGACAACCTCCATTAGTAACCTAATTAATAACCTCTCTCTTTTCCTTTTTTCTCCAGGTTTATTCCTTTTCACAAAAGGGGCAGAATGTTAGAACTGCCACCTCATGCCTGTGCTTGGTACCAGTTTGCCAAGGACTCAAAGGGGGAAGGGGGAAGGGAGGGGGGCTGTTCGGAGAGAAAATGAAAGTAATGGAAGTAAGTATGTCTATTTCAAGTTGCTCCATTGTGAGAAGTATTCAGCTGCAAGCCAGCCTACACCCAAAATGACCATTTCCAAAGCATTTTGGAAATTGATTGCATGATGTGGGGACCAGCAATTGCCCTAAGAGAAGTGCCTAAGAGTTACATTTGGGAATTTGGTGCGTGAATTTCAGTTCTGGATTTGCTTTACTGAAATCCACGTGACTTCTAATAAAGCTATACATTTTGCAACAAATGGAGCCAAGGATCATTTATAGCTAGGAATCTAAACTGAGGCAGGTCTGATATTTCCAGAAAGCTGAATGACCTGAGTTTTCCCATGGGATGGTGTGAAGCTGGAACTCTGTGAAGTTCCGAATACTAATAATGGGTTCAGAATTGAGAAACATATTCTTAAATTTACAGAGTAATGGCAATTTAAAGTCACACTTTTTTCCACCCCTCTCTATAATTATCAAAAAGATTATTATTAACCTTGTTGGTTCTCAAAACCCTGGTAGACAATTTATGTTTACTTGGAAGAATGAGCCATAAGAGATGATGGGCAGTTTAAATCCTTCATGTGTTTTGAAAAACATATATTTAGAGTTTTGGGGCAGGTAAGATCATTATTGGATTGATGTCTCAGACTGATTTTTATTCTGAAGCTCAGAACGTAATTGGGCTTATGTGAGGAATAGAGAGATTTATTTTAAGGTTATTTATTCTTGGAGACTTGTCAGCATTATATGGAAGTGATAATAAGCTAGTAAATATGATATTGGTTGTTATCCTGTTATTGCCACATATATCTTGCAAGGCTCAACCAATAATGTGCAGAATCCAAGACACTATCTCGATTGTTCATGAATTTTTTCAAGCAGGTGACCTCATTATTGGTGGCATTACTTCATTAGTGTTTATAAGTAGAGTTGTAGAACACTTTGATGAAGTTCCCAAGAATTCTGTTGCTGGTGAACCATTGTAAGACATTATTATTGTTGTTGTTGTTGTTATTGTTGTTGTTGTTGTTGTTGTTATTGTTGTTGTTAATCTTTGGTGAGATTCACAGCCTTTGAGGCTGGTTAATAGCTCAGCAGCTTGAGTCCTAACCAAGAACCTAGGAACTGTTAAGGTATCGTCAGAGGATGTAAGCTGTTCTGAGTAGGGTGGTTTTTTGTAGAGTCAAAATGTTCAAGTCCTATAAATTTAGAATTTCTAAATAGCGGGGTAGCCCTTTGGGTATTGCTCCAAGGGCTCCAATTACAATCGGGACAACACACAATTTCTTTTTCCACAGTCGCTCAACTTCAATTTGCAAGTCCTGGTACTTTGTGATTTTTTTTCTTGCTGCTTATCTTCAATCCGTGCATCACCAGGCATTGCAATGTCAATGAACCATACTTTTTTCTTTTCAACTATTGTTATGTCAGGTGTGTTGTGGACCAAGTGCCTGTCAGTCTGAATCCTAAAGTCCCACAAGATCTTGAGTTTCTCATTCTCTAAAACTTTCTCAACCTGATGTTCCCAGTGGTTTTTGCTGTATTCAGATCCAAACTTCTGGCACAATTTCCAGTGAATGATCTTAGCAACACGGTCATGGCGTTGTAGGTAGTCAGTTTGTGAAATTTTGCTGCATCCACTGATCAGGTGGTCGACTGTCTCATTTTTCTCATTGCAGAGGCGGCATTTGCTGTTGGTGGTAAAATATTGAATTTTTGCCTTCATGCAGTTTGTGGCTAGGGCTTGTTCTTGAGCTGCCAAAATAAAGCTTTCTGTTTCTTTTTTCAGTACTCCTGATCTTAACCAGTTCCAAGTTAGTTTCTGGTCAGCTTTGCCTTCAATACTTTTCAAGTACTGGCCATGCAGAGCTTTGCTTTTCCAATTTTCAGCTCGTTGTTTAATTACTTCTTTCTTATATTCTGCTTTTGTTTTAGTTGTCTTTAAAAGGCCTCCTTTATTTACTTCCTTAATCATTGGTTCTTCATTTTTCTGGATGTAATCATTCAAGCTGCATTTTTCTTCTTCCACAGTCTGCTTTACTTGTAGGAGTCCTCGACCACCCTCTGCTCTTGGTAAATATAATCGGTCAACATCACTTTTAGGGTGCAAGGCATGATTCATTGTCATAAGCTTCCTTGTTTTTCTGTCCAAATTGTCTAACTCCATCTGGGTCCAGTCAATTATTCCTGCAGAGTATCTAATCACAGGTATAGCCCAGGTATTTATGGCTTTTATGATGTTTCCTCCACTCAATTTGAACATTAATATCTTATGAATTCACCGAATGTACTTGGCTGAAGTTAATTCCTTGATTTTTTTATGCATTAAGTCAGAGGCTTCTAAAATCCCCAAGTACTTGTAGCCTTCTTCTGATTTTACTGCCTTTATCATTTCTGCATTCTCTAGTTCTATTCTATCCTCTTCTATGATCTTGCCTGCTTTGGTTGCTATTGTTGCACATTTGTCAATTCCAAACTGCATACTGATGTCTTGGCTGAATTCTTTTGTGTTTTCAATTAATAAATTCAGTTCAGTTTTTGTTTTACCAAACAGCTTAAAATCATCCATGTACATCAAGTGCGAGATTTTCAGTCCTTTCTTTGCAAGTTCCTATCCACAGTTCATCTTCTTCAAAATGATTGTCAGTGGTAGCATTGAGAGTATAAAAAGTAGGGGTGAAAGGGAATCGCCCTGGAAAATGCCTCGTTTAATTTCAACTTCACCCAGTTTTTCTTCATTAGCCATAATTTTCATTTTCCAGAGGTTCATTGAAGATTCCATGAATTTTTGTATGTTGCTGCTGATGCCTAAGATTTCCAGGCATTTCTTGATCCAGCTATGGGGAACTGAACTGAATCAAACGCTTTCTTATAGTCTATCCAAGCCATGAACAGGTTGGTCTTTTCTTTGAGTTCTTTAGGATTAGCTTGTCAATCAGCAATTGATCCTTTGTTCTTCTTGAGTTTTTGCAGCATCCTTTCTGTTGTTGTTGTTATTATTATTATTATTATTATTATTATTATTATTATTATTATTATTATTATTTTATTACTGTCAGCCTGATGTTCAGAATGGGTTTGGCATTTTTGTCTACCTATTGAGTCCTTACCAGGACCTGGGATAGGCAAATCTGGATGTTTGACAGTGTTACAGATATCGTCACAGGATGGAAGCTGTTCCAAGTAAAGCTGCCTTCTGCAATTGACTGATGGCAAATTTGTCGATGCCTATGGTGTTTAAGTGGTGCTCCAGTTGTTTTGAGAGTGCACCCAAGACGCCTATTACTATTGGTACTACCTTTGCTTTGCATAGTTATTCTATCTCTATTTGTAGAACTTTGTATTTTGTTATCTTCTCCAGTTCTTTCTCTTCTATTCTGCTGTCTCCAGGCACTGCCACATCCACTATCCAGACATCATCATCATCATCATCATCATCATCATCATTATTAATCTTTCTATTACTATATCAATCTACCTAAAATTCTTCTATACTCCAAGTCTATGAATTATAGTTAATTTCAATATTGTACATATAAATTTTTAAATCAAAACAAAATAATACTTTCAACTTATGCTTTCATTGTGCTTTCTAAAGGAAAGCAATAGTAAGATCCTGTGTTGCTTCAAGAAAGGGGGAAAATCAAAATAATTATTCAGTCCTGCATGATTAACAGATTTTACATATTTCTCGGAATTATAACATCTGCTTCTAAAATTGAATCTCAAAAAAAGTAAAATTGTATTTAACCATTGGAATAATAGAACTAGTCAAAGATGCAGCATATTTTACATCAATAAATAAAACATCTATAAATAAATATGGCCATGATATATGAAACTTTTTGGAGTGGGAAGAAGAAAAATACATGTCTTTAGGGTAATTCATTAATTAATAAAATCTTATTCTGCTTTTGTATTTTTTTTTTAGAATTTCTGATTTTACAATTATATGAAGTTCTTACATTTAAACTAATACATTGGACTTACATTAAACTAATACAAGCATAGCACCAAACCCAAATTTTGCTATTTCTGTTTTTGGGGTAGGGAAAACCTTTGGATTTTGCTTAACTGGCTTTACACATTAAGGGATATTTGAACAGCTTATTAAATAACTTATTATAGCTATAATTTAAAGATGGTGCATTTAAGAAAATATTTTGTCAATTCTGGAAAAGTACTTAAGTACACTTCTAAGAAAATGTAAAGGAAATCAAAAATCAAAATCCATGTTATTTCTTTTAGGTCCTTTAAATTACAACAAAAATCTTTTCTACCAAAATATAAAGGTATCAAATTCCACAGTTTAATGTTTAATTAAGTTTAATGTGTATTTTCCATGTTGGGCAAATATTTTGCTCAGTATCATATAATCAAAATGGTTTAACAAACACACTCATGAAAAGCAAGTATTGATTTCTCTAAAAAGTGAATGATAACCAATTTATCAGATAACATTGTTCTTGTAAAGTTTAGTTTGACTTCCCTTTTTAGATGCATAATTTCATTGATTCAGCATCTAATTCCCATTGCAGAGTCCTAATCAAGTATTATCAGCATATTTTGACCATGATATTTGCTGTGAAGAAGATAAATGAAGACCTCCAGCTCTTACCTAACATTACCTTGGGTTTTAGAATATATGAAAGTTATGGTGGAGAGTACACATATCTTGCCACAATGAAACTTTTCTCCAGTCAGAAACAATTCATTCCCAACTACAAGCGTGGCATCCTGAACAAACTCAAATCTGTTATTGGGACTCTTGATCCTAACATTTCTATTGATATTGCAGACATTTTAGGTGTTTACAGGATTCCACAGGTAAGATGCATTCATGATAAGTTGCCCTTACTTTGCTTTGTATTTTTAGATAGAAGTGATTGTAAGACATTAAGACATATTTAATTTCATATACATTTATTTATGAAGTATATTAAGAAAATATACTTGTCAAAGGGTAAAGAAATGTGTACCAAATTTCAGAATTTGATATGATTGGTCAGGTTCAAACAATTAACTAGAATAGAATAGAATAGAATAGAATAGAATAGAATAGAATAGAATAGAATAGAATAGAAGAGTTGGAAGGGATCTTGGAGATCTTCTAGTCCAACCCCCTGCTTAGGCAGGAAATCCTACACCACTTCAGACAAGTGGTTATCCAACATCTTCTTAAAAATTTCCAGTGTTGGAGCATTCACAACTTCTGGAGGCAAGTTGTTCCACTGATTAATTATTCTAACTGTCAGGAAATTTCTCCTTAGTTCTAAGTTGCTTCTCTCCTTGATTAGTTTTTACCCATTGCTTCTTCTCATACCCTCAGGTGTTTTGGAGAATAGTTTGACTCCCTCTTCTTTGTGGCAGCCCCTGAAATATTGGAACACTGCTATCGTGTCACCCCTAGTCCTTTTTTTCATCAAACTAGACATACCCTGTTCCTGCAACCGTTCTTCATATGTTTTAGCCTCCAGTCCCCTAATCATCTTTGTTGCTCTTCTCTGCATCCTTTTCTAGATAGATTGATAAGCATTAAACATTTTCCCTTATTGCAGGATATTTGGATTTCTTCCCAATAAAGTTGCTATTGTGGTAAATAAAAATGATATAAGATTTCAGAATTGTATTTATTTATGTTTTGTTTTGTTGTAATTTAGATGCTGCCTTTAATTCTCATGTTCATGGAGGCACACATAGTGCTCTCTCCTCCTATATTTTTCTGCTACTACCAATTGTGATGTGTTAGGCCATGAGAGAGTATGGTGGACCCAAAGTTGTATACACTGAGCTCTTTTGGCTGAAGTGGATTTGAACCTGGTTCCTCCCATTCCTCATCCACCCTTTAAATTACTGTATCTCTTTGAAGCAAGGCTTATCATAGTAGATTTTGAAGCAGAGTATATAAGGAAATAAGGGAAATTTTGGGTGAGGGTAGCATCCATTCAAAAAATGAATTGAAGGCACATATATTGGAGAACAATGTTTCTTGGAAACGTAAATCTTTGTATTTAGAGCCATATTGGATCAATATCAATATCAATATCCAGGAGCTAGAAAAAGTTTTGTGACAGATTTGGGAGACTCAAGAAAACTCATTGCCATTATTATTATTATTTAATGTATGATGAGAAAAAAAGTAAACATATATACACAGACTACATAATTATAAATAAAACTTATATAGGGGTATAACAGTGGCCTCATAACTGAATATCCAGTTCAGCTATCCAGGCTATTGCCTCTGGTGTTGCTTCATGCAGATCTTCTAAGAAACCAGAAAATGCATGTTGTGGGCAATCTTGCACAATATGTTTAATATTTGTATATCAGCAACACAGTCACAACAATCTTTCCATCCCCATTGGTACAAGCAGAGGCACTTCCTCCAGTATAACATTTAATTTTGTTCAATTTCAACCAGACAAAATGAGGCATGTCAAACCAGATGGTTTGGCATAGCATTCACTAATGGTCAGACCATAAAATGGTACCTTGGTCCATTCTTCTTTCCAGGCATCCTTGGGGTTAAACTGGGTAAATATTAAGTGAATAGCTGTTTTTCCAGTTTGCCTATGGGATTTCAATCTTGTGATGGGCTGTGCATTTTCCTGGTGAGTATTGCCCTTGTTCAACATGCTTGACCAAAGCTGAATCAGAATTTGTTGTCTTCTAATGTGGTACAGTTACTGGTAACCAATGCATAGGAGTAGGATTCAATATGCCAGCGATGATATGCATTGTCTGCCAGAGTTTGACAACTGGTTAGGAAAAAAGCCTTAGAATTTTCTCTTGTCTGCAGAACAAGGAGCTTACAAACCCTCTGTGGTTCTATAAGATAGTATGAACCATATTCATACATGAAATTATTTTTATTGTTGAAGAAAAAAAGTAATATAAAAAGATGAAAGAAATTCAGAGGATCATTGAATTGTGCAGACTTTCACAAATATTTCATGCACATAAATAGTGTGAGAGCATATTCTAGAACTCTTTATTTGCAGAAAATGCATATTGGTTATCAATCATCTTTCTGTCTGTTTTTTGTTTTTTTTTATGTGTATAGCTCCTATATGGCCCTCCTCCAAATATGTATGCTAAAACTGATATCCCCTTCTATTACCACATGGTTCCAGGTGAAGACTTTTATTTTAGGGGGATCCTTCAGCTACTTGTCCATTTCAGGTGGACTTGGGTTGGAATTCTTGTGAAAGGAGATGGTGGAGAAAAATTTGAACAACTGATATTTTCATGGTTTTCTCTTCATGGGATCTGTATTGCTTTCTTAGAGCAGCTCAGGACAATTTACATCAGCAATGCAGATGATGGTCTGAAATGGTTTGTGGAAATATTTCATCGTTTCATTAACAGCAAAGCTAATGTTATGATAATCAAAGATAAATATGTTTTAGAATTGAGATGGTTGTTATATCTTCCTGAAATAGAATTTGTTTCTATAAAGCCAAAAGGTAGGGTGTGGATCATTGCTTCCCAAATGGGTCTTGCATCATTCTTTTATCAGAAGAACTGGGATATCCAAGTCCTCCATGGTGCATTGTCCTTTGCAGTTTACTCAAATGAAGTTAAAGGATTCCAGCATTTTCTTGAGACAAGAAACCATTTCTCATTCTTCCCCCAAGATGGTTTCATTAAAGATGTATGGGAAAATGCATTTGGCTGTGTATTTCCAAACCCATCTCAGAATGATGATCCTGAGAGTATCTGCACTGAGAAAGAAAAATTGGAGAGCCTTCCTGGGGCTTTTTTTGAAATGAGGATGACCAGTCCCAGTTACAGCATATACAATGCAGTGTATGCTGTGGCACATGCTTTAAATGCCATACAAGTGGATCAACAACCACATAGGAGAAACTGGAGTGGCAGGAAACCTAATCTTCAGGATGTACAGCCATGGCAGGTAATTTTGTAAGTAATCAAGTATGCTGGGAATGACATGTCAATTGCAGATCAGAAGTGACAGTTTTCTGTGATGTTAGTTTGGAATTTCTCTTGTGTTCTTTCTTTCTTTATTCCTTCTTTATTTTGGGGAGATTGCTAATCTCAAGGTAGTTTCTTCCAGCCTTAATCTTACAAACTCTCTTCCTCTCAAAATCCTTTTCTGAGCAATTTGTTCAAATTAGATTCCTATTCTTCTGGAAGACAGTCAAAAATCATTTCTGCCAAAAACATTATCAGCCCAAAGTCATGAATGCAGCTATTATTTGAAAGAGAAGAAGGGTAAATTAAACTGAGCAGGTGAACTATGAATTACAAAGAGAAAGGAGACAACATTCAGAAAACTAACAGGAAAGCTGTAATCAGTTTAGAAGGTGAAAAAGTTCTTATTTGTTTTTTCTAGATGAAAATGCTTCTGAGGAATTAGAAGACATAACATAGGATACAGGAATATAAACAAAAATATTCATTTTCTGACTTTTAAATGAACTATCAGTGAGTTTTAAGACTGAAGTACCTGCATTAGAATATCAATGAGTGGAGAAGCAGAATGATGAAGAAATAATAAGTATAAACAGAAGACAGAAAGAAGAGGTTATGGAGAAAAGTTGAACAAGGGAGTGGTTAAAAAGAAAAAGATTAGATGCAGAAGAAAAGTGGAAGGAATTCCCTGAGATGAATGGCTGTTATGTGGGATACTCAGATGCTTTAGATTTACCATCTTCACTATCCTTTCCATTCAACATAATAAAAAGGAAGGGCCAAAATGTGCAGTGTTGAGTTTTTAGAGGACTTTTCTTTTTGATAATATTTGACTGTGTTACAAGTTCAAAGGAAAATGTTAACAAATTATATAGAAATTTTGTACAATGTTGTTGTGTGCACAAGACTGTATAGCTATGAGATGTAGTTACCAACCAAGGTTTAGGAAACACTTCTAAGACCCACAAGAGGGATGACAGAATAATAAGCAAAGTTAGCAAAGAAAGTCTTGCCAGTGAATATGGACAGACATTGACAGTCCCATTAGTATAGGCTCAAAGTTAAATAGAAGAGATCATCTAATACAAAAAGACCAAAGTTTCCTTTTGATTTTCTTATGGAAACCAATTTTCCAGTGCTGTTTCTCCACCATCACTCACTTGAGAAATTTTATTCTAATGTCTGATCCATTCCCCTCCATTTCATCCTTGCCCTTTGGGTTCAAAAAACACCCTGGTACCCTATCTTCCACCACTCAGAGACACAATAACAACCATCCCATTCTTCAGCTAATGAGAAGCTACTAACCCTTGCAAAAATTACTTTCCATGCCCTGGTTTGGAGGGTAACTACTTCATCCAAATAACCTGCATAAAGCATGCTTCTAACCTGGAAACCAGATTAGTGAAAAAATCTGGACAGCTGAGAAATTGTTAAAAACTGCTGTTTAGTTAATTGTATTTTTATTTTTAATTGGGGGATAACCAGAACTAAAGCACTGAAGTGCAAAAGAGAAACCCTAGTATCCACTATTCTATAAACTGTGTCAATGCTGCTCCCCTCATTTAAGTTTCATTGTGTTAATTCAACCCAGCCACCCAGTAATAAATACTTCTGCACTGCCATTGAGGCAGAAACCCCAGTTCAGATTCTTGTGAGATGATCTGGAAACTTATGCTGCTTTCATTATGCTGTTGAATTAATAGTCCTGGGAAGGAACATCAACAGTAGATTTTGGTCAATGGTCAATGACCAATGACCATGCTTTCTATGCATAGCATAAGTATCCCCCTTTCCAGCACTGAGCCTGAAGGACACCTTCTCACCCATTGATCAGAAGATTAGAAACTTTGTGCCTGGCTGAAACAGATTTCAGACTAAACCTCCACTTTTTAAATGATGCCCTAGAAGTTGACTTTCCAATTGAATTCAGCTACCTACCTGGTTTCAGAATGCATGCTAATAATTATCTAATAAATTCTAGGGAACTTCTACTTTTTCCCAAGTATAGAAGTATAACAATAATCACTTTCCAATCCTGCTCCAATTAAAATGCCTCATTTAAGAGAAACATACTAAGGAAGAATTTTCTGCCAACCCAAGTGGACTGCTAAATCAAATGAGGAAGTTATCTCATATCTCCTATAGCATGGGTGTCAAACTTGCAGCATCACATTGCCATCATGTGATGTATCTTGATGTGTTTTCCCTTCATGGAGCTGGGGTGAGCTGGGATGGGTGTGGCCTGCAAGTGGTGCATCTGGCCCACGGACCACCAGTTTGACACCCCTGTCAGTTCTAATCAGATGACTCTCCTGATGCACCCTTAAAAAAATATACTATCCCTATGCAATAGCTCTACCAGCATGTGACCCATAATAACAGTACACCTTAAAGGCAATAACAGCACTTGTCCAAGCAATGATTAGACAAGGCCTTTGTTTACACCAAAACAACAACAACAGCAACCCTCTACCACTTTCTTAAATATTGAATAGTACTGCTGCATTATACCTCCTCTACCAAAAGAGATGGAATCAACAATTGTTGGTACTAATCTCAATCAATCAGAATAGAACTGGAAGGGACCTTGAAGATCTTCTACTCCAACCCCCTGCTGAAGCAGGAGACCCTATGCCATTTCAGATTTCAATGTCTCACAAACATAGCCTTAGTCTAAACACAACTCAAAATGTTACAGACAAATCATTATTTTTTCTTTTCTGGGTTGTTGTATTTCTAAACCCCTAGCTTACCACTAGATAGTAGCAAAAGACCTTTCCTGTAGTCTGTTGACAACAAGTGACTAGCTGGATTTTTTATGACGTCCAGACATGACAGATGCTAAACTATATTTATAGCTGCAATAATTGTATCTATTATATTATTTCTATAACTATAGTTTTGTATCTGGATCTTCCATGATCTGCATATATAATAGTTGAGCAAAATATTCAATTTTGTTCCTTGCTAAAAAAAAAAAAAGTGCAAATTATATTATATTTATGAGTAAAATAAAACTCTCCTCCAAAAGAAAATTGGTATATTTTTCAGAATTAAAATTTCCTAGATATAAAATCTCCTAGATATAAAATCTCCTAGGTCTTTGGGTAAGGTAAGGATAGATTTCTTTTATAATTAAATTATCACAAAAACTACAGTATAATTATTTTTGATCAATGGTGACATATAAGTAAATATGGGGGAACCACTAGAACATTGCACATTAAGAAATATCCCCCTCATGTGTAAACTGTTCTGAGCTGTTATGCAATTCTATATCTTAATCATGCTTTCTTTTTCTCTACTCTTTCCTTTTTACAAATATATTTAATTATTTCTCTATTCAGCTACACTTCTTTTTGAAAAGAATTGCATTTAACAACAGCATTGGAGATGAAATTTCTTTTGATGAGAAAGGAGAACTGGTTACAGGATTGGATCTTGAGAACTGGATCACATTCCCCAACCAGTCATTCTATCGGGTGAAAGTTGGGAAGCTGGATCCCTGGGCTGCTGAAGACCAAATGTTCACCATTCATGAGGAAACCATCAATTGGCCCTGCACTTTCAATCAAGCAGGTTCTGAATGTAGATGATTTCATTTGGATGACTGGAATGATATAGGTAGTTATTTTTTATCAATCATAATTGGGACCAGCAACTCTCTTGCAAGGATACACATTCATAAAGTGAAACATAACGTGATTGCGGTAACTTACAGCACTGGTTCCAGATGCAATTTTTAGGAAATCACCCATGGTCATTAAGTAGTTTGTTACATGACTGCAACATGAAACTTCCTACCAGATTTCTTATTGCCTTTCCTTTCCTGGCTATGAAGTCACAATTAGTGTCCATGTGACTGCAGGAACACTGTGATAGCTGCAACTTTGAAGACTAGTCAAAAGTCACTTCAGTATCATTGTAACTTTGAACAAGAGGTCAGTAAATGAGGACTACCTGTGTCTAAATGACACCTCTATATCATTTAACATAGAAGACAGATAATTTATTTATTTATTTATTATTTAAATTTCTATACCGCCCTTCTCCAGAATAGGACTCAGGGCGGTGAACAGCCAGAATAAAAAACAATACATACAAAATTTAAAAACAATTTAAAATAATTAAATATTATTGGCCGTAAATTAAAATAACCCAATTTAAAATCATTTTAAAATTAACTCAAGCCAGCCCCGCTAGTTGAAATAAATGGGTTTTCAGGGCCCGACAAAAAATCCGGAGGTCTGTTATTGTACGTATCTCTGGGGGGAGGTTGTTCCAGAGGGTGGGCGCCGCCACAGAGAAGGCTCTCCCCCTGGGGGTCGTCCGCCGACATTGTCTGGCGGACGGCACCCTGAGGAGGCCCACTCTGTGCGAGCGTACTGGCCGGTGGGAGGCTATTGGTGGCAGAAGGCGGTCTCGTAAGTACCCCGGCCCTAAGCCATGGAGCGCTTTAAAGGTGGTCACCAACACCTTGAAGCGCACCTGGAAGACCACCTGGAGCCAGTGCAGCTCGCGCAGGAGAGGTGTTACATGGGAGCGCCTCGTTGCCCCCATAATCCCCCATGCGGCCGCGTTCTGGACCAGCTGGAGCCTCCGGGTGCACCCCAGGGGGAGCCCCATGTTGAGAGCGTTGCAGTAGTCCAGGCGGGAAGTAACGAGTGCCTGAGTGACTGTGCGTAGGGAGTCCTGATCTAGAAAGGGGCGCAACTGGCGTATCAGGCGGACCTGATAAAAAGCTCCCCTGGCCACGGCCGTCAAATGATCTTCTAACGACAGCCGTGCATCCAGGAGGACGCCCAAGTTACGAGCCCTCTCCGTGGGGGCGAGTGATTCACCCCCAATAGCCAGTGATGGCGTCAGCTGGCTATATCGGGACGCCGTAAGCCACAGCCACTCGGTCTTGGAGGGGTTGAGTCGGAGCCTGTTTCTCCCCATCCAGGCCCGCATGGCCTCCAGGCACTGGGACATCACTTCAAGGGCATCATTGGGGTGGCCTGGGGTGGAGATGTACAGCTGGGTGTCATCAGCGTACTGATGGAACTCCACCCCGAAGCCACGGATGATCTCACCCAGCGGCTTTACATAAATGTTGAACAGAAGGGGCGAGAGGACCGACCCTTGTGGCACCCCATAAGCAAGGTGCCTCGGGGTCGACCGCTGCCCCCCTGTCAACACAGATTGCGACCGGTCAGAGAGGTAGGAGGAGAACCACCGCAGAACGGTGCCCCCCACCCCCAACCCTGCCAACCGGTGCAACATGATACCATGGTCAATGGTAACAAAAGCTGCTGAGAGGTCTAACAGGACCAGGATAGAGGATCAACCCCTATCCCGAGCCCTCCAGAGATCATCCACCAACGCGACCAATGCCGTTTCCGTGCTGTGCCCAGGCCGGAAGCCGGACTGGAGCGGGTCTAGATAGACAGCTTCATCCAGGTACCGGGGAAGCTGTTGCGCCACCACACTCTCAACAACCTTCGCAACGAAGCGAAGGTTGGAGACTGGACGATAGTTAGCCAAAACAGCCGGATCCAGAGAGGGCTTCTTGAGGAGGGGCCTCACAACCGCTTCTTTCAAAGCGGCCAGCAGGACCCCCTCACTCAAAGAAGCGTTAACAATCTTCTGGAGCCAGCCTCGTGTCACCTCCCGGGAAGCCAGTACCAACCAGGAGGGGCATGGGTCCAATAAACATGTGGTTGCGTTCAGCTGTCCCAGGACCCTGTCCATGTCCTCGGGAGCCACAGGATCGAACTCCCCCCAGATAACACTCTCAAGACCTGTCTCAGTCATCCCATCCGGACATACCCAGTCAGAGGCCAGCCCTTCCCGAATCTGAGCGATTTTGTCATACAGATACTGCACAAAGTCCTCAGCTCGGCCCTGCAAGGGGTCATCCCGCAGTTCCAGGTGGAGGAGGGAGCAGGTCACCCTAAACAGGGCGGCCGGGCGATTATCTGATGACGCGATAAGAGCGGCAAAATAGCTAGATTTTGCCGCTTTTATCGCCACTAGGTAGGTCTTAATATGAGACCTCACCAGTGTTCGGTCGGATTCGGAGCGGCTGGTCCTCCAACTACTCTCCAGGCGTCTTTTCCGGCGCTTCATCTCCCTAAGCTCCTCGGAGAACCAAGGAGCTAGGTGAGTTCGGTGCTGGGTCAGAGGCCGCAAAGGCACGACACGGTCCAAGGCCCCGGCAGCCGCACTATCCCAGGCGGCCACCAGGTCTTCAGCCGAGTCATGAGCCAGAGTCTCAGGAAATGGCCCAAGTTCCATCTGGAACCTATCAGGGTCCATCAGGCGCCTGGGGCGGAACCACCTGGTCGGTTCCGCCTCCCTGCGGCGGGGTGCAGCGGTTAGAAAGTCCAGTCGAAGGAGCGAGTGGTCAGACCATGACAAGGGTTCGATGGCTATATCCCCTATATCAAGGCCACTCAACCACTGACCAGAGACAAAAACTAAGTCCAGATGTGTCCCCCTGTGTGAGTGGGGTCATGAATTAACTGAGTAAGGTCCATGGCCATCATGGAAGCCATGAACTCTCGAGCCACTTCAGACGTTTCACCGATAGATGGCAGGTTGAAATCCCCCATAATAACAAGTCTGGGGGTGTCCACCGCCACCTCGGCTATAACGTTAAGCAGCTCGGGCAGGGCCATTGCCACGTGGCAGGGAGCCAGGTACGTGACCAACAAGCCCATCTGTACTCCATGACCCCACTTTACAAAGAGGGACTCACATCCGGCTATCTGTGGAACAGTGGTCTCCCTTGGATCCAGACCTTCCTTTATAATAACCGCCACCCCCCAGCCCCTGCCCTGAGCCCTCGGCTGATGAAATGCACGGAAGCCTGGTGGGCATATATCCACGAGGGGAACTCCCCCCTCCTGGCCCAACCAGGTCTCCGTAATGCCCGCCAGGTCCGCCTCCCCCTCCTGAATAAGATCGTGAATAAGGGGGGCTTTATTAACAACGGACCTGGCGTTGCATAACATCAGCCGAAGGCTCTGGCCCTGAGAATCTGGACAGCCTGGGGAACGAGAAAAGCATTGGGGACCGGAGTGCGCAATCACTCTAAAATAGCGAGTGCGCATTCCCCGAACATGATGTGGTCCCCAGCTACCACCATATCTGCCCCTCCCACTCACTATGCTGATGGAACAGCCCTCTTCAAATCGAACTCCAACCCCCTCCCCCACCTCCGGTTCTATGTCCCTAATGTCGCAGCCCTTCGCTAAGGCTGGTCTTGCACCCGGTGGATTTCCCCCAGAACCCACCCTAATCCCCCCGAACCCCTTAAAATGTTTGTTAAAAAACTACTAAAAGACCCACATGAAAAAAACCCTCAAACTCTTCTTTGCTGCATGCCATCTCTCGGGGCTCCAACGCCCGTCATCAAGATAGGCCCTCGATAACGAAGAGGGCCAAACCTGCGAGAGGGGGGAATCTCGCAGGGCACGAAGGTCATAAATGTCTTATTCTTTTAGTTGATACAAATCTCCCACAACTGAGAAGAATTGTAAACAGTATAAGAATTACATATATCTGAAAAACAGTGTTATCTAATATATATTTAAAATATTATTCAGTTTCCAAGCATACATTGTGGTAAACTTGAAGTAAAGTCATTGGAGCTATAGGAAAAGTATTTACTCATACATTATTCTAATGCAGTGTTTCCCAAACTTTTTCTTTTATGGCTCTGAGTCTGACCCCTTTCTTAGGAGACCCCTTTCCAATTTGCCTCTCTGAACCTCTTCAGAGTCATTGTTAGCTAATAGATCATACTGCGCAAAAGAGACAATCAACAAGCCAAAAAGGCAATAAAAAGGCAGGAACTTTTGCTTGGATTGTGCTATCTATTGAGAGTTGGATGGAGAATAAGTTTGACTAAAAATATGTATTCTAAATGTTTATAATACTATTTACTATTCAGAGTTAGGGGGATCTGGACCAATTCAGAATGTATTTGTGGGTTGGCAATATTTTATAAAGCATGTTTAAAATTGGAATTAATTTTAACCAGGATACAGACATATAAACACAACACACATCCCTTAAAGGGGTTTAACACTCGTTATTTAGAAAGATGACCAGAGCATGATCAACTATGCACGCTAAAGATAAGAATATATATATATATAAGCTGGCAGCCTGCGGGCCAGATGTATCATGTGCAGGCCATGCCCACTTGAGCTCCCCAAACACAAAAAATGTTATGATGTGTCGCGATACATCCTGTGATGCGATCAAGTATAACAGCCATGCTCTAGAGTCTAGGACAACTTGATGCAGCCAACTTAGTGTGGCCAACTTGCCATGGCCAACTCACTGTGGCCAATTGATTGTGGGACAACTTGCCACAGCCAACTTGCCATGGTACAACTCACTGCAGGAAAACAGTTACACTAATATCAAAGAAATTGTGGAATAGAATCAATAAGGAAAAGATGCCAAGGAGGGACAAAATGAAATGCAAATGACATGTTGGCCATGTGGAGATGACTATGGCAAATTGGCTGCAGCGAATTGGCCACATCAAGTTGTCCCATTCCAATCTCTCTATTGCTTGATAGCAATCTGCTGTAAATGGTGCTATCCTTGAAGAATAATTGGAATCTAAAATACAATGAAGTGGCACGTAAAATTCTGGGGACCCCTAGGGTGGCACAAATAACACCAATGTTGTATGAGCTGCATTGGTTGCCAGTTTGTTTTTTGGTCCAATTCAAGGTATTGATTATTATCTTGAAAACCCGTATACGGTATGGGTTATAGGTATCTGAGAAGCCATCCCAACACCATAGAACTAGCCTACCCCATGTGCTTCAGCAGATCTGGAGATCTGCCTGCTCTGGAGCCCACCTGCTAAGGAATTTTGGCAGGCAAGGTTAAGGAGAAAAGCCTTTTTCTTTGGAGCTATGGCCATGTGGAGCACTCTACCACTAAAGACGAGAACTGTTCCCACCCTTTTGGTCTCCCGGATGGGCATCAAAACTTGGTTCTGCTGGCTCCAAAAGAGGCTCTTGAAGATGGACAGGATAAGAAGATCATATCCTGATGCCATCTGCCTCCTTGATTCCAGTTTTTATATAGTTTTTAAAAATTAATTAGTTTTATATTTATATTTCATTATTTGTAAGCCAACATAATGTGGAGTCACATTATTGATGAGATAGGTAGAATATAAATTTAATAAATAAGTAAATAAAAATTAAACAATCACGATTTTTAAATCTTCTTTTCAAGTACCAGAGTGAACACTAATGTTTCCCTTCTTATTTTACTTATTGGGTAGACCTTGCCTGTTTCAGTGTGTACTGAGAGTTGCCCACCTGGTAATTTCAAAAGAAAGCAGGAGGCAAAGCCATTTTGCTGCTATAATTGTCATCCATGTCCCAAAGAGAAAATATCAAGCCAGAAGGGTAAGAAACATCATGAACCAAGTTATATTATGGTTCCACAGAAAGCTGAGTTGTATTCTTTTGTTTTTTGCCAGATTATACTGTCCCCAGAATGAAGGATTGCCTTACCAACTGAAAGGAAGATTTAAGGCAGAGTTCAGCATTTAACAAACAAAAAGAATCAAACAATTACAGAGTTTATTAAAATAATATTGAAACTTCTAATTTCTCTCACATTGGGATTACATTCTCATTTCTATTATTGTGCATTATTTGGTCTTCCATAAAATCTGTATAGGGAAATGAGTTGGTAATATACAGAGAAAAGCCAAATCCTTAGCTCTTTTCCTTGAGCCTTGCATTTATGGATATGAACACTGATTTTATTCCACAAAAAATATACAAAATGAATAAAATTCAATATAGACAAAGTGATAGGAGCACACTCCTATGGTATTTTACATTATTTTCAATATTTTAGAAACTGCATTCCATAAAGGCAAGATGCAGCTGTGAAACAAGACAAATGGACAGATAAATGGACACAATTGATAGAAGTTAGTAATAATATTAGTAAGAGTAAGTATAAAACTTAAAGAGATAATTGCCTTGTTAAAATCTAAATACAAGATTGGAAAATCAGGTGGAAAATGTCAGTGCAGTGATGCTGTTAAGGGCAATTTAAAGACTTATGTCATAATAATATTCATAGAATAATAATAGAGCCAAGCACAAATTTAAATACATGTATATTTCAATTCCAGACATGGATGACTGTTCCAACTGCCCAGAAGGTCAATACCCAAATAAGAACCAAGATTCATGTCTTCCCAAGAGAATTTCATTCTTATCCTATGAGGAACCAATGGGAATAAGTCTAGTGATTCTGGCAATTTTCTTTTCTCTCTCCACAGCTATAGTGCTGGCAACATTTTTGAAACATCACCATACTCCCATCATCAAAGCTAATAACCAAAACCTCACCTATGTTTTACTCATCTCCCTCCTTCTCTGCTTCCTTTGCTCACTGCAGTTCCTTTTTATACCTGGCAATATAATATGTCTCCTCCGACAAATTAGCTTTGGCATCATCTTCTCAGTGGCTGTGTCTTCTGTGCTGGCAAAAACCATCACTGTGGTTCTGGCTTTCATGGCCACCAAGCCAGGATCCAGGATGAGGAACTGGGTGGGAAGACGACTGGCCACTTCCATTGTTATTTCTGGCTCCCTGATTCAAACAGGCATCTGTACAGCGTGGCTGTTCATATTTCCCCCTTTCCCTGATGTTGATACACATTCAGAAATAGAGGAAATCATACTGCAGTGCAATGAAGGCTCAACTACCATGTTCTACTGTGTCCTGGGCTACATGGGCTTTCTGGCAGCTGCAAGTTTCACAGTAGCTTTTTTCTCCAGGAATCTCCCCAGCAGTTTCAATGAGGCCAAATGTATCACATTCAGCATGCTGATTTTCTGCAGTGTTTGGATCTCTTTTGTTCCATCCTACCTGAGCACCAAAGGCAAATACATGGTGGCTGTGGAGGTTTTCTCCATTTTGGCCTCCAGCGCTGGCTTGCTTGTCTGTATATATTTCCCCAAATGTTACATAATTATTTTTAGGCCAGAGCTAAATAATAGGGAACATCTCATTAAGAGAAAAAGTTAATAATTTGAAACCAAACCTTTCTTTAATTATTTTTGTCTGTTAACAGCCTTTATTCAAAGCTATTGTAGTTTAGTCTTTGATTTTGGAGAAATGTATTTTGGATTAGTATTCAGTATGGAAGCTAAGCCTGGTCAATCATTCAGTTTTAACTGAGTTAAAAGGTACTGAGGTATTAATAGGGCATGATTATTTTTCAGTTTGGTCTCACTGAAAAATCATATTTGAAATATTAAGTGCAGATAGCAGACATGAGAGATAATACAGGATGACTAGACGTTTAATTGTCTCTTTCTCTCACTCTTCCTTTCTTCTTTCCTCCTACTCATCTTGCTTCGTTATTTAAAAATATAGTTATATGGCAAATTAAATAAACGTTCTCTAATTTTTCATCACTTTGTTTTACTCATTTTTTCTTGCCCATTAGAAACTCCATTACACCCATTTAGGATGGATCCCATCAGCCATTTATAAGGCTCTTCAAACCTGGCTGTCCCCATAGGAATGTGATCTAGGAATTTAGGGGGACTCTATTGGTGAAATGACTTTTTATTTTTGAAGGATGGCATTATTAGATTTTTAATTTTTATGTATGTATGTATGCATTATTTATTTATTTGTTTGTTTGTTTGTTTGTTTATTTGTTTATTGCCAATCTGATTGTTTGGGATGACTCTAGATTATCTCAACCATGCACTATATGGGGCAGCCTTGGAGACCATCAAAATTTTTCAAGTAGTCCTGAATGTGGCAGTATGAGCAATTTTGATATCACATGTTTTGCTTATGTTTCACTGTTACCAGTTGAGCTGCACAGACTTGCATTTCTTTCCTTGTGCAAATCAAGCTTGTTGATTATCACCATCTTTCTGTGTTTTATTGGCATTTTGCTCAATTTGCACAAAACTATATGGAATACTGTATTTTTTAACCAAATGAAGGTTGTTCATTCTTTAAGGCACTGTCCCATGCAGAATGCATTATAGTAGTCCAAATAAAAGGAGACTATGGTTTGAGTGAGTGTAAGAAGAACATGTTGGTCCAGGAAAGTGTACAACTCACTGATGTGCAAAAGACATATGCTCCTCAAGCATGAATTGTACGTCCAAGAGAAACCATTAATTATACCTGTGGTAACTTTGTACAGTGCAACCCCATCCACAACCAAATATGGTAATTCTCCAAGAACCTGAGCCCCAAACTCAAACCCACTGTTTCTTGTTGGGTTCAGTTTTAATCCCAGAGTTTAACAGTCTCTAGGCTCCAAGAATTCACTGTGGGCAGAGATGTATAATTGAGGCCAAGGGTCAGACCTCTTGTTCTTAATTAGCACCAACTGAAAATGACTTTGAACTGGGAAAATACTTTGCCCCCCCACTCCCAATCCCTGGATTCATTCGAGAAATAAATCATTGTCATTGGTATCAAAGGCTGCACAGACATTTAAGTAAAACAACTACAGCTGCATTAGCCTCATTCTGTTCTCACCAGAGGTCATCAAAATGTATGACCAATGCCATTTACATCTAGGGCTAAATACCAAGTGAAAGGGGTCCCAATATTCCATTTCATCTAAGATCCCCTGAAACTGCAGAGTGACCACTTTTTTTAGCAAAGAAAAGGGAAGATTGAAGACAGGCAACAAATTGTCCATTGGGATAGAATTCATCAATGGCTTCTTAAGAAGATAGTGAATAAAAGTCTCCTCTTTGGGAACATCCCAGTTCCGCTTGTTCATGATCTGTGATGAATCTGGAATAGAGATCGTGCATCTCTCAAAGTTGTCCTTGATCTCTCAGTGGCCTTTGATACTATCAACCATAGTATCTTTCTGAGTTGGCAGTAGGCCTCAATCAAAAAGGAAAATTATGACAAATTAATACTGCAAATTGAGAAAGATTTGGAAAATTGGAAAAATCTTCAAACTTCAAGGATGGGAAGAGTGGCGGCAATTAAAATGAATACCTTGTCTTCTTTTTTTAATGCTTATGTCCAGTTAGTGTTGGTGGAGATAATTCATCACTTAAAACCCTGTTTAATTCATCACTTAAACCCCTGTTATGTGCGATACTACAGGATTTGTCATTGTCCACTCCATTGTTGAACAATCACATGAATCGCTGGAGTTAATCCACCAGTTTGGGATTTTGTACCATCAATCATCAACATTACACCCCCACAAGTTTGAACTCCTATTGGCCAAGTGAGGCTGTTCAGGTCCTGTTTAAATGTCTGGAGGTTTAGTGGGTCTGATTGGGAAGGAATCACTGACTCATGATTGTGTATATTGAAACTCCACCCTGGCTCTGAGGACTTTCCATTCATACTATTGGATGAAGATATGCAAACAAGGAGTAATTTTGGATTCATAACTCCTGCTTAAAGAGTAGGTGGCACCTGTGGCCAAAGGGGGGGATTTTACTTTGCTCCATATGGTGTGTCGGTTGCACTCTTTTTTAAAACAGAAGGCCCTTCAGATTACCACTCATGTTCTTAAAATTTCAAGGTTATCCTGTAAGCTGCCCTGAAATATTTAGTTAGTCTGCTATAGAAATAAAATAACACCAGCAATTGCTACTACTCTATGAGGTCACCCTCAAGACAAAAAAAAAAAAGTATTTTTAAAATGAAGGTGAAAGTTAAAAGTTTGGCCTGGCTTTAGGATCAAGTACAGACTCATTATTATTTTCTACGCCTCACTGTTCATCTCAAAAATATGTCCTTCAATATTTGATGATGATTATCTCTTTTCAGCCTTGTTATTCCATTCATGTGTTGAGTTGCTAATTCTATGTTCAGAATTGAGAAACATATTCTTAGTTCCACAGAGAAATGGAAATTTAAAGGTTGCACTTTTCTTTCCCCTTCCTTTACAATTATCAAAAAGATTATTATTAACTTTGCTGCTTCTCAAAACCCTTATGAACAGTTTATGTTTACTCGGAAAAATGAGCAATAATTGCTGATGGACAGTTTAAATCCTTCATATGTTTTGAAAAAACTTGATCTTAGACTTCATGAGCAGGTAAGATTATTATAGGAGTGACGTATCAGAATGCTATTTTATTTTAAAGTTTAGAACAAAATGGAAGTTATATGAGGAACAGAGAGTATTTATTTCAGTCTTGGATACTCATAAGCATTACATGGAATAATAGAAACCTTGTTAGCTGGGTCATGATGATATTGATTCTTCTCCTATTATTACTACATGTATTTAGTAATGGCCAACTAATGATATGCAGAATTCAAGACCCCATCCCAATTTTTCACAAATATTTTCAAGCAGGTGACTTCATCGTTGGTGGCATAACATCTTTTGTCTTCATAAGCAGAAATGTAGAAAACTTTGAGGAAGTTCCCAAGCATTTTGATGTTGGTGAACCGCAGTAAGATATTACTGTTTTCTTTACTGGTAACATTGCATCATGTAGACATTTTTTTTTAATAAATTTATCCTGTGAGTCATAATTTATTCCAATATTGCACATATAAATTGTTTTCTAGTATGATTTGATTGCTTATTTGTACCCTATGATTAATATTAAGTGTTGTACCTATGATTCTTGACAAATGTATCTTGTCTTTTTATGTACACTGAGAGCATATGCACCAAAGACAAACTTTTTGTGTGCAAAGAAAAAAATAAAAATAACTATTTAGCCCTTTGTTATTCTGAGATCCTAAACAATATTGGGAATTACAGTGTCAGCTTCTAAAACTGCTTCTCAAAGAAAAGGAAAGGAAAGTTGTATTTAACCATATGAACAATACTATTAAGTCAAAAATGCAGTATACTTTATCTCAATAAATAAAATAGCAATAAACAGAGATGTCTCTGTGTTGATACAGTATGCTGAAACTTTTTGGAGTAGGGAAAAAAGAAATACATGTCCTCAGGATGATTTAATTAGTCAAAGTCTTATTCTACTTTTGTAATTTTATTTAAAAAGATTGGTTTTACTAATAAATGAACTTCTTATAGCTAAAATAATGAAGGCATTAATGCTAAGTTTTGCTACTATTCTTAAAATAGAAAAACCTTAAGCCTTGTTTAAGATTAAACTGACTGGCATATTTTGGGATTTTTGAATTGCTTATTAAGTTAATAAAAAGAACTATAACTTTCATATAATGAAAATTGTTTAACAAGCACTTTTAAGAAATGCTAGCAATGATTCCACTGAAAACTGAATGGTTACTAATTAATCAATTAACATTTCTTATGGAGCACAATTTCACTGCCATTTTTAGATACAGAATTTCTTTTTTTTAAAATTGGTTTTTTTATTATGAAATATAGTAATACAATTTAATGTTTTTCGGTTCCGTGGTTTCAATATATAAGTACATGTTATTTACATATTATTTACATAGTATTGCATCTTTGCTTAGATCTAATTTTAAAAAAATATTACAAATAGTAATGCACAATTCTTTATGATCATATAAACATATTGTTTACTTGTTTACTTAAATTGCATCCTTACTTAACTGCAATATAATAATGCAAGTAGTAATACTCCACTCTTTATGATCATTATTAGAGATGTATAACCTTTATACTTCTCAAACTTCACTTTTTGTTTCTTTTCTCTATCCACTCATACCACAACTCCCACACATTATAATATTCCGTGTTCTCTCTTTCGTTAAGTTCTAATGTTAGCTTATTCATTTCGGCGCACTCTAGTATTTTCCTGATTACTTGTTCTTCGGGTGGTAGTTTTTTCTCTTTCCAATACTGAGTATACGTTATTCTTGCCGCTGTCGTTATATGTATAATTAGATGCTTCTTTTTTTTTTTTCGTATTCTGTTTTCAGGATTCCCAGGAGAAAGATTTTTGGTTCAAAATTGATATTGTCTTCTATTATTTCCGTAATCCATTTCCAAATCATTTTCCAAAATTTTTTCGCTTGGGGGCAGGTCCACCAACAATGGTAGAAAGTGCCTTGGTGGTGGCCACATTTCCAACAATTGGGACTCATGTTGGATTTTGGCA